GGCAATAAATGACCAAAGAGGAACTATCTCTAACTGTACGTCTCCCAGAACTTAACCACCTGCCCCATGACTCAAAGTGTTAGAGGAGGGTGACCTTTGTAAGACTCAACAGGATGTTTTGATTTTGGAGCCTAGACACCCCCTCCCTATATAGGATGGGTGCTCCCTTCCCCATTTAAAACCAGAGCAGAACATACCTACAAGGTTTTCTCCATTTCTGGATGAATAACTGATAGTTCCAAAATCACTTCACAGAATTATAGGAGAACCAATGGAGAGAAATTAGAAGCAACCAGAGCATCATGACATTTATCATATTGGCAGATGCAAGAAATTTGAACTTGAAGAAAACCAGCATAAGTGGTCTCATCTGGGCTTTGAACCCATGGCACTTTAGGCACATGGCTCTGACAGTAGCTTGTGGGGCTATTGAACTGTTGTCAGCTGCTTTAAAGACCTGAGCAGATGGTGTGGACTTTTTCACAGCATGTGTCATCGATCATAATGAAGTCCATGGGTTTGGGAGAGTCTTACAGGTGGTAGCATATTTTGGTAGACAAGACAGTTCAAAATATCCACAGGGCAAAGTAGCATGGATGGGGGTTCCTTGTAAAATAATTTGGGAGCAAACAGAGAAGCTATTAGAGTCATCACAGTCCACTGTTAGGGTCCTTTCTCTGCACTCCAAGGCCTGTTTGATGACTCCATATTTCCTCTTAAGGCCAAGAAAGCAAGAGGTTCAAAATTGAGTTTAGAGCTCAGATGGAACTAGACTGAATTCTTTGTGTCTCTCTGTGATGCTCTGAAGCTTTGGTAACTGTTCTAGTTTCATCTCTGTTGTGTGATAAAATACCTGATAAAAAGCAACTTAGGAGAAAAGAATTTATTTGACTTAAAACACTAGGTTACAATCTCCCATAGTCAGGAATGCAAAGCAGTGGAGCTTGAAGCAGACACTCACCCTCAGAGTCAAGAACAGAGGGAAATGTATACATGCATTCTTGCTTGCTTACTTATTTATTCTCAGCTCAATTTCTCCAGTTACAAAATTTAGGATCTTGGGTCTAGGAAATGGCACCCTATCCACATTGAGATGTATCTTCCTAAATCAATTAACTTAGTTAAGAAATCCCTAACAAAAAGGGGAACACATTTTTTTTTTGCTAGTAGGAATGCAAACTTGGGCAACCATTATGAAAAGCAGTGTGGAGGAAAATCCATCCTCATAAGATGGAAATAGATCTACCACAGAATCCAGCTGTACCACTCTTGGGAATATATGCAAAAGACTGTATCTTAGTATAGAGGCACTAGCTCTTTCATGCTCTAGTCACAATAACTAGTGAATGGAAATGGCCTTAGATGCCCACCAATGATGAATGGATAATGAAAATGTGGCACATTTACACAATTGAATATTAAACTACTAAGAAAAATGAACTTATAAAATATTAAACTGTTAAAAATGAAATTATGAAATTCTCAGGTTAAGTGGAGGGAACTAGAAACAGTGATTCTGAGTGAGATAATCCAGTCCCATAAAGACAAGCATCATACATTTTCTCTCATTTGTATATATTAGCTTTGAGCCAGGTGTGTGTGTGTGTGTGTGTGTGTGTGTGTGTGTGTGTGTGTGTGTTTGTTTCAAATACCCACAGAGATTAGGAAGTTAGTAAGGACCCATGGCAGGAGGCGAGCTTTCAAGGGAGGAGAGATAGACCACAGTACCATGGAGCATTAAAAAGGAGTAATAGAACAGTAGGAAGGATTAAATTTATATGGGCCATAGGAAGACAGTGTAGTAGAATTTCTGTTTGGGTCCCCAGCTCACAAATAATGACACAGAGGCTTACTAATTACGAAAGCTTGGCCTTAGCTTAGGTTTGTCCCACTAGCTCTTATAACTTAAATTAACTCGTACTTTTATTAATCTTCATTCTACCACCTGGTTTTTACCTCTGTCCCATCTCTGTGTGTCTGACTTGTTAACATCTGCCTGGCTTCTCTGCCCGTCTTCTTCCCAGAGTCCTCTCTGTGCCTGGAAGTCCCATCTATATCTCCTGCCTAGCTATTGGCTATTTAGCTCTTTATTAAACCAATCAGAATGTGCCTTGGTAAAGACACATTTTCACAGTGTACAGAAAGATTATTCCACAACAGGATAATGTAGAGGAGAGAATATAGGGAGGAAAACTAACAGTGACAGGGCTTTTGAAAATGTCACATGGAAACATAGGACTATAGGCTATTATTGTTTACCATCCAGAACTTAGTGATAATATCATATTTCTTAAGAATTCACACACTTAGAAATGAAGTTGGTATTGACCTGGAAGTTTTACCTCTACTGGCTAGCTCTCACAGTGCAGGAAAATGCTATGCAGATATAGGAAGAGAAAATTTAAAACAAAAATGTAATAAAATCAGAAAAAAGTAACTATCATTTTTGCAAAGTTTCGAATCCTAAATGCTGTAACACCAAATAACATGATAAGATATGCCTATTCATACAGTAGTGGCACAAATGTTATAGGAGTACCCAATCACTTTTTGATTGTACCAAAGGCCCAATCCATGAGATGGAACCCATACCTGGAATTACTAATAGATTTAAGAACTTGTGGTTAGATAGGCCATAGTACCCAGGGGAGGACCTAGTAGTACTAGTCTGCTAAATGAACACATAATATTAAAATGACTACTAATGACTTTCTGCTGTAGATCAGTGCACCTCAAACACCATTACTTGTAGCAGATAGAAATTAACACAAAGACTCTCAAAAGGTCAATGTGCACAAAATAAGAGATGCTAGAATGCCCCTCCCTAAATGGTATATACATAGCATCACACTTTCACATAGACTCGGGGGTCATTGTGGAAGAGGGGATGAAAGGATTTGTAAGAGCCAGAGACCATGGATAACATCAAAGACACAACAGGACAATTTCACATATGAATTCTTACTAACTGCACAAGATCTGTACCAGCTCAAGTCAAATAAAATTCCAGGATGCAGACAGGAAGTGGTGTGAAATTCTACCAGCGTCCTAGGAGCTATTGGCATGAGATAGATGTGGGAAGAGGAAGAGCCAGTTTTCTTCAGTGCTGTGACCAACCATGTAGGTGAACTTTGTTCCAGAATGTTGAGCAAAGTAAAGTGCTCTTAATGTAGAGAGGGAAAAACATTCAAAGTTGTGTGGATAGGGAGGGGAGGGTGAAGAGGGTGGATATAGGAGGAGTTGGTGGTACATATGATAAAAGTAAATTTAGGAAATTGCCATAAAATTAACAAAAATATTACTTTAGAAGAAGATAACAGCCACAAACATGGCCACAGATCAACCCAATGTAGACAGTCCCACCTTTCTGAGATCCTCTTTCCAGGTGATTATGGGTTATGTCAAGGTGACAGTTAAAGCTAGCTGTCACAACAATATTGGACTTGCTGATGCTAATTTCTACCCTTTGTCAGATGCTTCACATGGATGTTATGAAATTAGAATAGATAAAAATGCAAAGTGTTTTTCTGGCTGTTTTTATGTCAACTTGACACAAGATACAGTCATTTAGGAAGAGGAAATCTTAACTGAGAAAATGCTCCCAGCAGATTAGCCTCTGGGAAAGCCTGTGGATCATGGTAGGGGAATTTTCTTGATTAATTGTTGTTGTGGAAGGGCCTAGCCTATTACTGGTGGTGCCATTCCTAGTCAGTTGGTCCTGGAAAACAAAATAGACTGAGCAAGCCACAAAGAGCAAGCCAGTAAGCAGCCTTCCTCCACAGTCACTGCTCTATTTCTACCATAAAGTATCTATCCTGAGTTCCTGTCCTGACTTTCCTGGATGATGAATTATAGCTGTAAGGTTAAATAAGCCCTCTTCTCTCCAATTTGTTTGTAGTATTTTACCATGATAAGAGAAGCCTTGACTAAGACTACTGCTTAGCGCTGGTTGGGGTTTTAGTATGTTATTCTTACTGTTTTTCTCAATGTGCTTGGTGTTATAAGGCCCTTTAATTTAGCCCCACTTGGGATAAGGAGTCTAAGCCCAACTTATCGCTGATTTTATTGATGGTTGCAGGGTACCTTCATTGCTCTCAATGACAAAACTCATTCCTCTTGTCATTAGTTATCAGCTAATGGAAACCAGACATTGCTATTTGATGAGGGAGTTATATACAGGAGCTTTCGACCCCACAAACAAGGAGTGAGATGAATATAAGAAATTAAACATGAAACTCAGGCTTAATCCTAGGGCTGATTATCTCACATGCTGATTTTCATTTGAAAATCATGTCATGCTCAATTCCCAGAACCCTTGTCCTACATCCCACCCATGCTTAGGAGGTGTCACTGTATAAAGCTGAGAATGTAAACCTTTGTGAACATGGGTAACTTTCTGGGATTCATAGGCAGTTGCACTATGTTGAGTAAAGTCTAGATGCTAAGCATGGTACCTTTCAATACTCACTAAATGACAGTTCTTACAGTTTCCTCCTCCTTTCTTCCTACTATACTCTTTGTCCTTAACCATTTCCATCAGCAGCAGTATCACCAGAGTCAAGGGAGGAGCTTTATGTTCTATGATTCTGTCTTTAACCTACTATCATTCCCAGGGGCAACCATCACTTTGGACTATTCTAGAGATGTGTGGACCAAGTTGTCTAAGAACTTTGAGGGTCTCATAGGACAAGATTCATATCTTGGCTCCCCTGTTTTCTGAATGCCCAACTGTGATAAACTACATATTGTTCAGAGTCTTAGATTTGGGATCTGTGAACTAAGGATGCTCTCCTGTCTACTCCATAGATTTCACTAGGCTCAGATGAGACAATATGTGTAATTTACAGAATAGGCCTCACTCTGTAGTGGTCCAACAACTCTTCCATGAGCCTGGCATCTTCTCGGACAAACACAGGCTATCCCGAGCTGCTGTCTCTGATGGATAAATGGTGTGGGCAACTGTATCCTGTCTTCACGTGTTCTTTGGTTTTCTCTCTTAGGGAAAGCACCTCATTTCCTGCGACTCCAAAATGTTGAGGTGAACGTCGGGCAGAATGCCACATTTCAGTGCATTGCTGGTGGAAAGTGGTCCCAGCATGACAAACTTTGGCTTCAGGTAAGAATAGGAGAGAATCTTGTTCATACTGTTCCCTCCCTTTGCAAGGAAGAAAGTATGTTCTGTGAAGAAGGGTATGTCGGGGAAGGGGGCATTTAAAATTTTTTCTGCTCCTTGGATATTGCTCTCCACCCATGCCCTTGTGAAATGTTATCTACTGTTCTGGTAGATTGACATTTTATAGACAGAGAAGCTGATGGCAATGTAAAAGTTCTGGGTCAAGCATTTGTGAATATGACCCCTCCCCACTACCACCAAGCACTTTCTGACAAACTTAGTTATTAAAGCTACAATTACTAAGGCTAAGACAAACCGAATGTCTTAGGGTCTGGGTTTGTGACATCATTCATCCTTCACTAAAAGGTACTTGAATGTCTTTGTGAAAACGTTACTCTTTTCTTAGAAAATGCTCCTGAGATGAGCAGTCTGTTCTCTGGCTAAATGAGTCCATCACTGAGTACAGTCCTTTAGGACAGTGTTTTAAGCTTGGATCCACTCGTCTGTCTTTTATGCTCATCGATCCTGCTCCCCTAGCAAGATGAGAGAACATTTCTGGGTAGGGTACAAAGCCAGATGATGGGACACAGAATGAGAACACTCACGGTGGTAGCACTGTCATGCTCCTCTCACTGCAAACACAAGAACCAAGGTATGAGGCAGCACACAGGGTAGAGCTGAGATTTTTCCCTACAATATCAAGGAGGCCATCATTATTCTCTCCCCCCACCTGCAATTTCTTTTCTTTTTGATGATATCTTGCTATATGGCCCAGGCTGGCCCAAAACTTTTTATATTTCTGTCTCATCCCTCTCAGTGTTGGGATTACAGATATGAGCTACTATATTCAGCTTTCATTTAATGCCAAGTATTTTCAAATAGTTTTATTGAAGATAATTGAGATGTAATGCTTAAGGCATACAACTTGAAAAATTTCATGTATTTGTGTGTGAATAGTTTCACAATCAAGTTAATGAGCATTGGTGTTATCTTCTAAGGTGTCCTTGTTTCCATTTTTAATCTTTCTCTACTCCAGTGTGTAATAAAGAACCACTGGTATGTTTCCTGATATTATGTATTAGTTACATGTTCTACAGTTTTGTATCAATGTAGGGCTTGGGGGAATGGGTCAGCGGATGAGGCCCTTGCTGTGCAAGCATGAGGACTAGAGGTCAGATTCCCAGAATGCATAAAAAGTCCCTGGGTGGTAGCATGACATCTGTGATCACAGTGTGCCCCTGTGAGATGGGAGGTGGAAACAGGAGCATCCCTGAAGGCTTATGAGCCAGCTTGCCTGGTGTATGCACAGTGTATGCTGCCTCGAATAAGGTAGAAGGTGAGGACCTATGCCTGAGGTTGTCCTCTGACCTTCACATGCCTGCTGTGCCCCTTGAATCTTGTCTTCATACATGCATGAACACACACAGACACAGACACACACAGGCACAGACACACACACACACACACACACATATACACACACACTGGAATCAAGCAGCACTAAACTCTTGCTTAATAATTCTGAGGTGAGGTCCATTTACATCATTGCGTGTATCAATATTTTATTTAGTTAGCTTGTTCTTAGGAATAATCTGTTCTAACAATGGACTATTAATAGTAAGCCATATATCACAATTTTCTTATATATTAACTTTCTGACAGCTGCTTGTTGCACTGTTTCCAATTTCCTTTTTTTAAGCAATGTAATTTTGTTTATTTATTTACTTTTGGGTTTTACATCCCGACAGCAGTTTCCCTCCCTCCTCTCCTTCCATTCCTTTCCCTAATTACCTCCCACCATCAACTCCTCCTCTGTTTCTCTTCAGAAAAGGGCAGGTTCCCAAGGTTACTATCCAGCCGAGGTATATCAGGTTGCAGTGAGAAAGGCACCTCCTCTTCTATTAAGGCTAGAGAAGGCAGTCTAGTAGAAGGAAAGGGTCCACAAAGTGGCAACAGAGTCAGAGACAGGCCCCTGTTCCCACTGTTATCTGCTAAGAAGAGTCTGCTGTAAACATTAACATGGGAATCTATGTGTGTATATTTATTTTTCATTTCTCTTCGGTAAACATCTAGTAGTGAAATGGTCAGGTCTTGTGTGGATGTGAGCTTAACTTCCTGAACAACCAGGAAGTTAAACATGGCATTGTGTGTGATTTGAAAGTTTGTTTTCCTGATGACCAAGGATGTTGAATGAGTTATTGTGTGCTCATTGGTTCAGGTAGATTCTCTCTCTCTCTCTCTCTCTCTCTCTCTATATATATATATATATATATATATATATATTTATATATTTATATATATAGCTATATATATTATGGAGTTCATGCTGTCATTTCTCTTCTTAAATTTGAACCATTTTTTTTTTACTTACAGTTGAAAACTCCTTGGGCAGACAAAGCCCATCTTAGGAACTCACAATTTCTCCTTGCTACTTACGTCCCTCCTTCTGTGTTGCTCAATATTAAGGAGCGCTATTGACTCTTTTCATCATCATTAGAGTTAAAGTACATTTTGCACCAAAGAAGCATTGTCATTTCAATGGCATTGATTCCATGAGAATGAGGTAGGACAATCATAGTATTTTCAGAAACTTTATTTAGGCAGTCCAATTATTGTGAGGTCAGTGTTCCTGCAGTACTGACTTGTATGCACTCAGCCTCAGGTCTGTAAACAGAAGGGGTTTAAAGCAGTTCATAGTGCACGTGTTGAAGAAAACAGACAGAAGTACACATTGCGGAGCTCCTTCATATCGTACTTATTTATCTGCTTTTGAACGCTTTTCTGGTGGCTTACAAGAGGATACAAAGCAAGACAAGATAGTGTAAATGAAAAGCAAGCCACCAGGAGCTAGGAAGAACACATCAGAGCTACTTCTCAAGCTATGACTATATTTCTGCGTTCCCACTGCTGGCTTGTGGGTCACAAGAGGGACGCCGGAGCACCAGAGCCACCAGTGGGATAAAGAAAGCTTGTCAGATATACAGTTTACAATGTCTTCGAGATAAACACAAACCAATTGCTCAGGAAAATTCTAACTGTTGTTCACACAGAGGCCAGACAAGAATAGCTCCCAGGAGCCCTCGTAAAGCAAAGGCTGTGTGATGTAATGAACAGCGTCCCCTCCACAGTCTTATTGAGGGCGCACAAGCGGCTTTTGTGGGGCTGTTTCACATCATAATAATGCTCAGGCTTAAGATGTGGAAAGAAATGGGGGGGCACAGTTCGAGCGGGGGTCCTCAGTTTTCTGCTAATCTATCTCTACCCGGGGAGGCTTTAAACTTAATGACGTGAGTGGATGGATACAATAACTATCCCTGCAAGGAAGGCTCCTTGAGTGTTGGCTCCCTCCTCCATATTTCAGGGGATATTAGGAAGGAGGGCTTAAATACTGGGCTTTCTGCCAAAGGCCTGTGTAACTAGTAAAGTTCTAGGCATGTGAGCAACACTGTGGTTGGAAGTTACTGATCATAGTACCCACAGGGAAACAGAAATAACAGGACACACACACGTACACGCGAGCACATGTAATATATAGACAGGTCCATCATTTCTGGAAGATAATTAGGCACATAAGATCTAAAACCTTCAATATTTTTGCAAACTTAGCTTCACTTAAGGCAGTTTTCTAAAGAAATTACCAGAAATGGGGATAGAGATGTACCTGCAACTATCTGCAACTGGACAGAAAACTAGAAAATACTAGAATATTGTGCAAGAGAGTTTAATTAAGTAAATGCTAGAATGCAGTAATTAAATATCTGATTGTAGACAGATACTTAATGATATTCTCATAGTATGTAGTTAAGTGAAAGTGCAGCTATAAAACTGTTGATATATTTAATATTTTAATGAAAAAACATGTACATACATAAACATGTGCAAAGTTATATACTTACTTATATAATGCAATACATCCTTATATATTATGCATACATGTATATATATATACTTACAATACTATAAGGCATACATCAATATTACTAATTGTGATAATAGATTGTATATGCTTTTATTCTTTTCTCTGTTTAATTGAAGTATTAAAAGTGAATGCAGGAAACATAAACAAAAATAAATGCCATTAAAGGGGGGAATGGTCACTTTTCCTTAGATGTAAGTGCTCTAGGAATGGCAGGAAGTGTCTCCTAGGGTTGAGTGGCCAATTTTCAGTGAATGTCTGGTGCCCTGGTAAGGACACAGACCAGATTCCCTCAGGCATATTGTTCATCCAAGTGGGTTTTTAGAATACTCTGTCGTGTCCTCTTTTCTTATAGCAGTGCATTGCTGAGGGGATGCTACCCTCACCCCACTCTTCAGGGACTCTAGAGCAAACCTGTCAGGACCACCATGGAGGTGAAATTTGAGGCCTCTCTGAAGACAGTATGTTCCACTGGGAGTCTGTACAACCAATAACACTAGCCACCTCAAAAATGAGGCCATGTGTCCAGATGCCCTGCATGGATCCCAGCAGGGTCTGTGTATGTGTCAAGACATCACAGGCACCAGAGAGGGCCTGACAGGAAAAGGCTCTCATTCTGGGAATCCATCACTCCATATCAGCTGTACCTGGCTGTAAGATAAACACACATGTCTGTAAGTCTGCTTAGCAGAAATTCTTCCTGTTAACTTCTTACCTTGATCCCTGTGGGGAAGAACTGGCTACCAGTGCACAAAGTGGTGAGTGAAGAATCTCCTCCCATTCATTGTCTCTGAACTCAATGTCCTCCTATTTGGGCTTCTGCATGGTGGTCAGAGAAACTAAAAAATGATAGTAAAGCCAGGAGAGTATGCATAACGGCGGACATATCCCGAGGGCCTATACACAGAATACGTGTAATGCTCTCCATGATCTTTCAAGAAGCTGACATTAACAGCCTCAATAAGGTTGAGCATTGACAGGAGGGAGACAGGGAGGGAAATAGTGATGGAGAGTATAAATGAGGGCTTGAGGGTTCAAACTGGGGTTGAGCAGGAGAACCAGGATAAGAATGTGTGTTGCATCCTGA